ACAATCATGTCAATAAAGGATTCATTTCAAACCCTTAACTGAAGGTATGGAGTGAGTTTGAAGTACAGTTACTCAACTGTCTAATAAAGCATATGCAGCTTCAGCATCACTCTAGCTAGATGTGCAGTTGTGCTTTCATGCTTTCAACAAAAGTAAAACCATTTTCCAAGGCTAACCGGAAAGGACACCATTGACAGGCGATGCAAGACACAGACTGTGTTGCTAATTAAAAATGCAGATTTCTCTGAATTGAAACACTGTTGAAAGTATTTAGTATAATGTAAGCACTCACACACACACACATCAGCATAAATATATGTAACATTGTTTTAGTAATGGTTAAAGAAAATTTTAACAACAAAAATGCCCTTTAAATGATGTTTGAAATAATAATGACATTTGACAAATCCAAGGTTTAAATGAATGAATATAGTAAACAACCTCTTTGGATTGGTGTTGGGGATTGTTAACCACTGATGTCTTTAGTATTTTTTCAATAACGTGGATCCCAATGGCTACAAGTTTCCAGCATTTTTAAAAATAGCAAGGTTGTGTTCAAGAGAAAAAAGGTTTGGAACTGTTAACGGTGAGTAAAGTTACTTTTCTGGAGGGTACTCTATCCCTTTGAGGCCCTAAATTGAAATCAAAGAACGAGCTGGGGTAAAATCTAGTTTGACAGAGTTTTGATATATTTTAATTTTTAACTGACATTTTACAATAAAGATTGGAGTTTTAATTATGTTACAGAAAAACAATCTCTTTCCATTCTATACAGCCTAAAATGCATGATTATGGCTAAATTTTACCACATCATATAAAAACTATACACTTGTTTGAGGACATAGAACATATTTTATTTGCAGTTTTACCCAATGCGTTTGTAAAGCGGCACTGCGCAGGACTGGATGACAGAAAAGAAGGTAGTTTCTGCTTTTACTCACCCAAAAAATGCTCTGTTTGCACGATTTGATTAATATCATCGTATCCAAATACTTTAGAAATGATATTTTTAACCTGCTCTGGTGTTTATTGATTTTGGAAAATATCTAAAATCTTTTTTTTAGATAGGCCTTTGTAAAATTAAAGTTATATATAGCTTAAAAACGGTTTAATTCATGTATTGTATATACCTAAATTGTTTGCTTTTGTTTGTTTTATATTGGTATATTAATTTAATGTGATTTTATTATAACAGCCTTACATTTAAAAGGGAAACATAAGGGCGATCATGAGCAAAAAGACCCCTAGCGTATAAGGTGTTTTATGGAATAACCAATTGTAAACTGACCAGCTGTTTATTTATTTGTTTGGCATATGTACTCATGTGCGATTAGAAAACTAGTGTAATGATGGCATGCCATCTTTATCAGACTCGGGCAAAGTCCGCCTCTCCTTTCACGCTGCCCGAAGCCCCAGCTGGCCCTCTTTGGCCCAAGGCCAAAAAAAGGCTGGCCCCGAGAAAGCCCCGCTTTGGCCTGATCAGGCCCAGGAAGTGACTATGAAAATGCAACTGGCCCTGGCTCACTCGCTTTAGGTGCGATAATTGAAACACGGCTAATGACAGTTGTTATAAGCATGCATAAAAGCTCATTTACATTCATAACATGAGCCATCTGATGATTATAAAGGTTTTTATGGCATTCCTTTTCAAGTAAAGTCTTACCAAGCATAATGTACTGTAGAATAAAAACATCTCATTTTCTCTAAGACTACATGAATCTGACTAGCATTAGCAAGTAGCGAATGCTATTAAAAGAAATGCGTCATCAGAAGAAAATGACATGTGTCAAGCAGTTTCTTGTGGTCTCCATGACTTTGAATACCGTTAGCAATCATTAGCTTCCTGAAAGTACATAACTGAACTGTAAGCTCAAGAGTTTTCAAAAGTCAAACCAACAAGGGCAAAGTTTAAAGATAGGCCGAACGTAAACAAGCTGTAACTCATCAGAAGATTCAGTTGCTGTGAGGCCTGCAGATTTATTTAGGTCACACTGAAGGTAAACATACCCGATATGTAACAAAAGCGGAGCACCCACGCCGCACTGGAGTCAGACCAGGTTTAGATGTAAATAAAATCAGCTCACTGTTTCTACGAGAGGTTTGTGAGAGAGGGAAAGCGCACTTCTAATCCATGTTTGTGTTGCTTGCGTCCTCTGGAGCGCGATTGGCCACGCTCTAAATTTAGAGGAAGCAGGAGGGAGGAAATGAGATGAGTGGGACGAACAGCGAGATGGAAATCTGGAAGCAGGTCAAAATAGAAAACGACTTGTGACAGGGAATGAAAGAAACAAGGTAGAATGAAAAGGTGCTTAGTGTGTATTAAATTATAGATCACAACTGCATTTGGGACATGGTGATCTTATGATGATTGGCAAGCCGAGTAATGCATATCAAGAGAGCATGCCGAACATGTGAAACGGATGGATGGAAATAGGCAACAGAATCTTGGCTTCAGCATGGATGTCATTGCACATATCTGAAAAATACTGAAGTGCATGTGCTGCACGTGTGTTGAAAGAGCCTATTTATGGGTCACAGTGCAGCTCCAAAATGCCAATTAATTATGTTTTAAATGTTTATTCCTTGCCACTATGCTCGGTTTTAATCATTAAAAGTATAAGCGAGTTTATATTGATCGCTTTATTACATGTTTGAATGATCAGTAGGGTTCATGTTTGCATAAATGCATGTATCTGTTATGCTGGATGATGATGGTAGAGTATTTATCATATGTTTCATCATTTTATTTTTACAATAGCTATCTGAAATGTTACAGTAGACGCTTAACTTGCGTTTAAAAATCTTACAACTGTATATTTAATTCTATATCACTCATTGGCTGTTTCTCAATATGCATTCTTCAGCGTTCTTGGGTCCTCGTGTAGCATCATCATCAACTGCCAAAGTTCAGTTTCAAAACTCAAGACCGCAACAAGGGAGGACGTGTGAAAGTTACCGGATGTGACCAGGGCTCCACACAGGTTTCCTCTGGGTGCTCCGGTTTCCCCCATAAGTCCAAAGACATGCGGTACAGGTGAATTGGATAGGCTAAATTGTCCATAGTGTATGAGTGTGTATGGATGTTTCCCAGAGATGGGTTGCAGCTGAAAGGGCATCTGCTGAGTAAAACATATGCTGGATAAGTTGTCGGTTCATTCCGCTGTGGTGACCCCGAATAAATAAGGGGAATAAGCCAAAAAGAAAATGAATGAATGTCACCACTGGCTTGCTTGGATCGGGACTTTAGTAGATTTGCTCTTCAGTGTTTGAACTTTCAGCAGTGAAATTTAAACCACCCAGAATTAAACTAAACTGAAATTTAACTCTAAAATCTGGACATTACTAGAACTAGGTTAAGCTGTTTTGACACAATATACATTGAATTTTAGAATTCTGAACATAGATTTCTCTCAGGGTATGCACACTGGTGCCACAAGTCGGCAGCTGTCTACAGCACGGAGCTTTGACTTGGGACACTCTTAATATTTCTGCCGCGCCACAGAGCAACATCTGAATAGTTTAATTTTAAATAACGTGCGAATGTGTGCGTCCGATGTGCATTGCTTTCAACTGTCATATGCGCGTCACAGCATGGTACTGAGCAGCACATCCGGTGTGCGAACAGTGTCCTTGGTCATAGCTGGGTGCTATGGACAGCCACCAACTTGTGGCGCCAGTGTGCATACCCTGATAGAAGGCTATGTTTAGAATTCTAAAATGCATGGCACTGTGTCGCGTGACACTGAGCAGTGCATCCAGTATGTGACCCGCTTTACTGTCAAGTTTCATTGTAATATCTCAGCACTTCATCACGTCCTCCCACCCACTATAGGGCGCAGCGATATTGCCCTATACTCCTCAACATTAGATGGCGGTAGTGACTCTTGTTCCTCTAAACTTCCCTGCAATCAGCCTAATCACCACCACCTGTTCTTTGCTCTATATAAGTATTGCTTTGCTTTGCTATGCTTTGTATCCTGCTCTGTGTTCAGTCCTCAGTCCCATGCGTAGCGTAAGCTCTGTGATTGGTCGGCTTGGTAGTGCTGACAAGTGTGGGTGGAGCTTAGAGCTGTGCGAACCTGTTGGAGCGAGTGTTTACAAGTTTCAAGTGCCGTGAAGGAGCTCCAGGTGGAAAGTTTTGTTTTGTGTTTACCTTATGGTTGAAGTTGTTAAATGTTTGCCGGATCCCGCCTCAGAATGCTACTTGTACATCAAGTTAGCGTTCAGAAAAAACAAAACACCAGTGAAGAAACTCGACAAAGAGGAACATAAAACCCTACTGCCAGCTAGTGTTTCGGAAGTGTGATTGCAGAGCAGCAAAAACAGCATGCAGAAGTATAAATGCACGACAACACGCAAGACTTGTGCCATGGGTCACGACAATCACTTGATGCAGAAGTATAAACTAGCCTTAAGCTGTAATGTATTTGCTGTAATGTGTATCTTTCTTTTTTCTTTTCTTTTTTTTTTGCAGTGATTGACAACATTACAGTAAGTAGCCTATTAAAATATGATATTTCAAATAAATATTTAAATTATTTTGTTAACACTTTAGTGTAAGTAAAAATTCTCACATATTAACTAATGGCTTATAATTTGGGCCGCATCCGTAATTACATTCTTCTATACCAGGGGTGCTCAATCCTGTTCCTGGAGATCTACCTTCCTACAGAGTTCAGCTCCAGCCCTGATTAAACACGCCTGAACCAATGAGAGATTCTAAAGAGTGCATCCGATGGATGCTACAATATCCCATGATGCACCACAAACAAATTAATGAGTGGGAGTGACGCAGGTAGATCACGTGATGATAATAAAATGGCGGATGTAGTATATCTGACTTCCGTTCATACTACTCGCATTCCTACTGTATAGAACATACTTATCTTATGGTCGAGTAGTACATTTAACTTCAAATGCAGTACCTACTAAGTAGTAGGCGATTTCAGACACAGCCTTGGTGTTTATTAATACTTACAAAGTTAATAACAAGAAAATTAGGCGTTTATTTAGTAATTTAATGGATTAATAATACCAAACATTATACCTTAAAATAAATTGTGATCATTTAAATAAAGCCTTTATTAATTAACAAAATGTAACACTCAAAGTTTGAGTTTTAAATCAGCACATTTTTCAGATTGTTGCATAATCAGGCCCAACTCAGTTGGAAAGCTATTTCTGTCATGCACCAGAGGCTGCCAACAATGAAAGTTTCTCATTATTATGATCTGCTTTCCTCGAACACTTCCAATAACTGATTCTAGATCAGCATCAGTGTCAGTTTTCACAATGGGAAGCAGCGGGAGCAGCAGCAGCAGACGCCGGGGCTTTTAATTAATGCTTTTGATTTGAGTTCATCTCTTGCTGTCATTGAGCGACCACCCCCAGATGAAGAGGGCTGCTCCATGAATCAACTGGCTTTTTCATTGTCATCATCGGATGACAAACTAAAACCATGGATCAGAAACAGAAAAGCAGACTCTCAATATGGCTGAAGATCCTCCTGAAAGACTAAACTGCCCTCTGTCTGTGAATCTGATCGCACATTTCCACCGTTAAAGCTGGCAATGTCTCTCTTTTACTCATTTTAGTTTCACAATGTGCATTGCTTCAATTTGTGTTCCCTTAAGTAGTCATTTCTTTTTTATTTACAGTTCTGTAGTTTTAAAATGAAAATATGAGCGACCGTGCTGCTTCTCAAATATGCAATGCTATATTCAATGTGTTTGTTTCACGTAAGATGCACGACTGTTAATAGATAATCAGTGTAGTCTTAGCTAAATAAATTCACTATTGTATCTCAAGCAGCACTGTTAAGGATGTGAAGGGGTTCTCTTATTTCCTTCACCATGGAAAAATAACTGGAAGACACAAATATAGTTGTTCTAAAATAGTTGTGGCAAAGAAAGAAAGAAAAAGATATCTGGTTAAACTTAAATGTTAAAAAAGGAGCTTTATTTTTCTTACTTAAAGCAGTAAAGTTTATATGTAAAGGATATACTTTATTGCTAAGACCAGAACTTAAAAAATATGAGTAAACATAAATATAAAAGCCTAATTCTTGCACTTATTAAAGCTTGTGCAATTTTAAGTGTATTCTACATGATAGGGTTTGACAAACCACCTGCATGAGACTCTCTTTTTTTCCTCTCCATATGCACCTGACACTTTATTATAAAAACTCCACCTTTCTGGGAAAACATTGTACAATTCTAAGTGTACTTCATGCAGGCGAGTGAGCCAAGTTTGTCTGTCTCTACTACAAGTTACACCCCTTAATGGTACGCCCCTGTCTTGCAGTCCTCAGACAGACCCTACATCTGGGCCAAATTTTTGCCACTTCTGCCAAACCAGGGCCATTTTGGCCCACATGCTGTATGCCAAGGCCAGATTTATGACAAATCTGGGCTAGAATTCTTAGCTACCTGAGTAGCAGTGAGTCCTATTCTAATCCCCACAAATTGATTATTTCGATAATTCACTCCTGTCTTTCAATATTGTTGTCACACCTGTGAGTTTACAGTTGTGTTTTTGTCCATGCTAGATAATAAATCTTATAAGACATTATAACATTGTCTTCCGACAATTAATCTTCAGAAAAGGCTCAATAAAACAGGATCTCAATTCCCAAACAGCTTATTAATATGTATATTTAACCCAAATAAGGTTTATTTGTAATGAAATAAAACATAAATAAGGTTTATTTGACCATTTCAAAAAAACTGCTATATTTTATACAGGACAAATGTCGAATGCAATTTATAATCATTGACTGAACTAATAAAATGAATAGTTCAACCAAAAATAAACCACAATTAATTTTACACCAAAAAAAAAAAAAAGATATCAAACTATTTCATTCTCTTGTAGTTTTTAGCTTATATAGATTTTTGTAATTAAGCTGGATGATCCCATCACAGAACAGTTCCAATGTAATAATCTGCAAGAATGTCTGGCCAACCTCCTTCTGTATATATCCCAGGAATAATTATGTGGGCTGTACATGACATTAATGTCAGCGTAAAGTTATACAAGTTCACTTTAGCCTCCGCTCCACTAGATGTCACTGTTCTTCTTAGGTAAGCACTTTTCCCACGGACTGTATGGAAGAGCAAGTACCAAAAACAAGACTCCAGCGACAACCACCAGAGCTCCAGCACAGCCCACACATGTCACCGACCATGACATTTGATGCCGGAGAGGTATGGATTGGTCACTTGCTAAAAATGAAAGCACTGACTGGTGGAAAACTATGAGGCCGAGGAAGATTAAGACACCTGTTAAGAGACAGAGAGGTAAAAGAAACATTTGAATGTATGCAAATTAATGATAACTGGCCTTTTACCAGAATTTTAAAAATCATGGTTATTGTAAACTGTAAAAAAATGCTGGATTCAAGAATTGTGTTAATTTAGCTCATTTTACATAAGTAGTTTAAACAAGCAGCTAAAATACAGACCATTTTGAGGATTGTAAATAAAAACACTGGTTCCAACGTATTTTCTGTTTTACATGTTTAATTTCTACAGCTTCCGAGAGTTTAAAAACAGCCACATATTGATAAATAATGTCATGATAGCTGTTTTAACATTAAGCCTTTTGTTACAGTTATAAAATAGTTTGATAACAAGCAGGAAATGTTTACAGGCCAATGACATCACCACATTGAAATGTGCTGTTTCTCAATATCAACTACGCAAAGTTCGGACTTGCGTCCTTGGAAGTTCAGACTTGCCAAGTTAAGACATGGAAGAACGAACTCCCGAGGACGCAAGGACACAAGTCGGGTACTTATTCAAATGAAACAGCAGTGTACTTCATAACGTCATTTACCTCACCATGGATTCATCAGTTTCACTGTACATCAACAATAAAATGATTTAATTAATGTTATATTAATATTATAAATCTACATTTTTGATTTAAGAAAATGTACACATATATTCATATAAATGTGAATTAAAATGAGTTATTATACACGTGTCTTTGATTATCAGATTTATTAAACTACAATGGTAATTATACACACAATAAGAAAAAAAAGACATGCACGATAAGGTATTACGGTATGTTACGGTAATTATGTAATTACGGTAATTATGTAATTACGGTAACATAATTAAAGACAATTATAAAAGGTAACAAAATAACACTGCCAAAATAATACACCTGAGAACAAATAATAGATTTATAAGAAAACTGTCTGTTAGATATTCCCAAGATGTATTAAAGGGCCATGAAACCCCCTCGTTTCAGCAGGGTGTTTTTAGACCTCTACTTTGGAAAAAGTCAGAAAAGTGGGCGTGTCCAGCTCTGTTTAGGGGGGAGTGTCGGAGGAAGAAAAGTGAGATGGTGTGGGAGTGTCTATTTGGGCGCGCGCGAGTTTCAGAATCAAAATACACATACTTACACACAGGAGATAGTGATAGTGTTTAATCTACATGGACATCTGTAGTCGATTTATTTGCCAAATTATTAAATGGTGGACTTTAACTGAAGTTTGGCTCTTTTATTCAGGGAATTCATTCATGTCATTAAAACAACTACATTCTCGCCTGAAAAACTCTTAAAACTTTATTTTGTGACAGTAAAGGAGCATTTTTAAAACCGTGCAGGTTTCCTCCTCCGCCATTAGCACTTGCTGGTTACACTGCAATGCATTCTGGGATACCTGGGCTTCGCAAGTTTGCACAAGTCACCTCTCGATGCATCCTTGGCCAAAGGCCAGAGCAAGTACACATCCGGGAATTTCATGTGTACTTGGAAAGATGTGAACTTTGAATTGGAACAGTACTTTGGCGACGGTTGATGACGTTTCACGAGGACACAAGGACGCAAGTACAGACAAAAACGCATATTGAGAAACAGCCATGGTTTATTTTTTGTATTTTTTTGAGTGTAGTCAGCGTATGACAACCACAATTCACAGTTTTGCTACACAAACTATAGTTTACTTTTGGTTTTGTAGTAAAAATTGTGGATATACAATTGGTAACCAATACGCTAAAAATGGGTTATTTTCAGACTATTGTTAATTAGAGATCTATTCGAAATAACATGTCAGGATTTGTGTTAGCATACACCGATAGCAATAGCATACAATGTTACCTGGATTGCTTACTTTAAAAGGTAATAATGTTGTTAATGCTAAGCTTCTTGCACAGGTCAATAATTTTGCTTCATACTGTAACCCCTTAATGTATCATTAGGACTCACATGGTGTTCTTATTATTGCCTGTATATATTTTGTTCACTCTCAAAGTGCTGGTAGTGATTGGCTAGAAATGTAAAAATCACTAAGGACCACGTGTTTTAACTAAAAATCTTCTGTAATGTTCCACTCAAACAAAAAATAGTCACCTGGGTGCTTGCTTCTCAGATGGCCTAAAGATTGATAAATTAGTTGCAAATTTTTATTTTTGGTAAACCCCTTTTAACATATCCACAACTGTGTGAATTATGTTGATGAATTGCTTTGCTTTTCTGTTGGGCAAACATTTGTTTCAGAAAGAGCAGTTTTCTTCTACAATCACAATGTTCTTTTTGGATGATTGAGTGTATAGAAATGGGGGAGAAATGTGTATTTTGAAGAAATTATGAAATAACTTCATAGGCTACAGCTCCATTCATGAATTTGGCCAAAACATACGATTTAAAACTAAAAATATATAACTAAAATTAATCATTATTATTTAGCTAGGATGCATTTAATTGATCAAAAGCACTCAAAAAATGTGTTGTTTGTTCAAACTACTTATTTAAAATAAGCTGAAACAGCACAGAATTTTTTTTATTTTTTGTTTAAAAATTTTTTAAAGGGGCAACATAATTTCTGTTTAGTTCAGTTTTGACTTTAGTTGGATTATGGTAATTAAAAATTGCTGTTTCTAGCTCATGTAGACCTACAGTTCAAATTCATGTTTAACTGAATAAACAGTAAACAAAAGTGCATCTTATTGAACATCATTTATTTTCATCTCCAATTACTATAGTAGAACAGTTTCTCAAGCAGTTTGTGATGCATTTTTGAAACAGGAGATGAGCCCCTGGTCTAATGCACCACCTGGCTTGAGAAACCCATTCTCAAAGACTTACCTTTAGTCATTATTTGGGTAGCACACATATTCTAAATGCCTTTGGCAGAATTCAAATAAGCCATTTTAATCTAGATTAATTTCAAGATTTCAGTGAGATTAATCTAGATTTTAAAAAATCTATGCCTACCTATAATATAATGATCTATTATATATTAATGAGCATAGGAATATTTGTCGAAATAAATACCAATCTTACCAGACTCAAAAAAAAAAAAAAATTTTTTTTGCTGCTTGTTTAAACTACTTATTTAAAATGAGCTGAAACAATACAATTCTTAAGATTTATTTGGGACAACTTAATTGTTTTATGTTCAATCCACTTACATTTGTAAGTTTAACTTAATTTGTGTTGGGGCAGCATGAATTGTATGGAACCCTGCATTTTTACAGTGCATTTAAGGCCATTTTTAGCATGTTAATGTGCAAAATGTGCCTTGAATGAGCTTGAAGTCAAAAGTAAACAATATAAAACATGTAAGTCAAAAGTATAACGTTACCTGACAGTATAAAGCAAACCGCAGCTGGCTTCAGGAAGAACTGCACCCCTTTGCTTACTGCCATGATAATGCAGATCGCTCCCATCACCATCAGGAAAAGACTAATAATAGCAAACATTGCTGATGCGACTGTCAGATCTGAAGGGGAGGAGGAAGTTTCATTAGTTAACATCAATAATATGATGCCTTAAAGTACACATAATAAGCTGATTTAACATAACCAGAACATTTGTTTTGCTCATGTATGTATTTATTTATTTATTATAATGTTTATAGATATCCTGACAATTATTAACATGTATGCCTGAATGTTTATTAATTACAGTGCCTACTTGAAAAAGATTAAAATATAAATGTAAAGAATTATTATTGTTATTATTATTATTATTATTATTATTATTATTATTATTATTATTATTATTATTATTATTATTATTATTATTATTATTATTGATTCAGTCATTATCAGGCTGCCTTGAGCTCTCAGATGTAGTTTTTTAATAACATGTTTAAAAAATAATAGGGTGTTTGCGTAGCTAGTGTTTCTTCCCATACTGATAAACTTCCGGTGAACGGTTAATGTGACTTTTTTCCTTTTTACACAGTTCCTTTTACAGGATCTATGCCGTAATGTAATTAAAATACAATTAGTTAAAAAGACTTTGGCATTCATTTAGTTGCTCTTGCGTAAAACGAGACAAAAAGCCCTTTGCTCGGATGCGCCCGTCAGAATCGGCATACTAGTGAAGAAGTTCCATTGAATATACTGGGGTAAAATAAATGTTCATATTTCAAAGACATGGCAGGTAAAAATGTAATTTAATGCAGTGTTTCTTGTACAATCTGAGACCCACTTTATATTGGTCATCACCCAGCCAGTGGTGATCGCTGATTGTTTAAGAAAACTGATCTTAAACGTGCCGATTTTGTAACAGGATACAGTTTACCAGAAGTGCTTAACCCAGGTTACTGACAAATTAAAAGTCCTTTAGCATACTTCCGCATATACCCTATAATCAGTCTTTTATTAATACACTTGTACATCATTTTCCTATGCATTAACATTAGTAACATTAGACTGTTGGGAAACACTAAACAATAAGATTCTGTTAGTTGTTAGTCCCTTAACTAACATAAGGAAATAGTGTTTATTTACCTTAAAAATTAGTAAATTACATCTACAGTAATTGACATCAAAGTTGACATTAAATTCGGCCATTTGAACCATTTATTGATTTTCAGAAAAGTTTGCATGTATAATTTATAAACACTAAGGACAAATATGTATTACAGTTTTTTTTTCTTAATAAAAGTCATAGAAACCATTAAAAATAAATATGATAAGTCATTTTGAGGTCATGGCTCCATAAATATGAAATAAGGTTTTATAACTTTCCCTTGTCTGATGAAAGTCTTGTCGTCAATCCCAGTTGTAAGAGCAACACATAATAACTTGACTTCTAGATGATCATTACTATTGAACTGCATCCCAATCATCACAAATACTGCAAAAGACCTACTGGAACCCACATGGACCCAAGATTTTCACAGAAATCAGTCAAGTTTGTTGAAGGAAAAATCATGGTTTGGGGTTACATTCAGTATGAGGGCGAACGAGAGCTCTGCAGAGTGGATGACAACGTCAACAGCCTGAGGTATCAAGATATTTGTGCTGCCCATTACATTACAAACTCGGAGGGCAAATTCTTCAGCAGGATAGCGCTCCTTCTCATACTTCAGCCTCAAAATCAAAGTTCCTGAATGCAAAGAAGGTCAAGGTGCTCTAGGATTGGCCAGCCCAGTCACCAGACATGAACATTAATGTGCATGTCTGGGGTAGGATGAAGAAGGGGGCATTGAAGATGAATCCAAAGACTTTTGATGAACTCTGGGTGTCCTGCATGAACGCTTTCTTTGCTATTCCAGATGACATTATTAATAAGTTATTAGGGTCATTGCAGAGATGTATGGATGCAGTCCTCCAAGCTCATGGGAGTCATACACAATATTAATTCTTTTTCTTATTCTATACTGGACATTAAAGTGAGGAGAATTTTATCTAAGCAAAGCCAAATCCTATACTGTCCTAATTAAATAATTAAAAATCAAGGCATGATCATATTTTATTTTGGTAAAATAAGAGTAATCTAAAGGCCTTTGCCTTTCATATAAGCCACTTCTCATACCAAATGATCAACTAGAAGCCAAGTTATTATTTATACAAGACTTTTGTCAGGTGGTGTAGGCATCGATCCTAAATGTCCCACTGTCACTTTAAATTCAAATGAGATTGTGCTCCCAGCTATCTTTTCAAAAGAGGGTGGAGCTACCAAATGCCTGTGTGTCAGCATAGTGGCAGGTTCAACAACAAGACTAACAGGGAGAGATCATTACTAATGGGCGGGGCTTTCCCCCTCTGATGACTCTGATGTTTCTGCAGACTGTTTTTATGAAATGTGATTATAAAAAATGTAATTAATATTTTTTACCATCAGAAGTTGGTTACAATCATACACTGTTATGAAACGATTGTTTAAACCCCTTATAAAGTGATTTTTTTGTATAAAAGGTCAACTTTAACTTCGTACATGCCAACCTTTTAGCATATTGGGTTGACATGACATAAGGGTGAGTAAAGGATGACAGAAACTAACCTTTGACAAATTAAACCCTGAGGTAAAATGATATCAAAATTTTAGACAAAAATTGGAAGGCATCATGGGAATCTATTTGCTGATCAAAGCCTGTTGTTTCAGATCTTCATTTTGCTGCCTTCAAATCATTACTTATACTTTTTTGTTCCTCAAGATCTAAGTATCACATTTTGATGAGAAATTTGTATATGTGGTCAGCACTCGACACAAAGAAAGCAGCATTAGTGCTATGAGATCTAAAGATAGAGAGGGGGATGTGGGATGACTCACCCTTTTCTGGCGTTTTCTGAAATAGGACAATGTTCTCTCCAGTGGTGTAGAACTTAAAGAAGGTGCAATTGGATTCTATAATGGGATCCACACAAGGTGATGTTATTCTAAGAGATGATTCATAATTCAAACTCTCCAGACATTTCACACCAAAGTCTTACCTCCCTGTAAATGCAAAGGCCCGCAGACCTCCAGCTTTGGATCCACATCTGAAACCTCGATCGTCTTGGTGCAGCATTTCCATAAGCCATAGTGTGCGACCAGACAAGTCTGATTGTTATAGAAGCTCTTGGATGGTGCGAGTTCTACCCAAAACTCTGTTCCCACCCCGAGGACGGTAAGCATGATGCCGGTTATGGCCAGGAATAACGTAAGCTTGATTTTGCCTTCTTGGCTTTCGCTAATTCCATCTCCGGATCCGGATTGTGTTCTGTGTCTTCGCTTGCGTCCTTTGCCTCGTGATCCCAAAAATCCGTCCAGTCCCCCGGATGGTTGGTGGCCCCCCGCTGAGGTGTTCCCAGACCTTACCTCTTCTTCCTGCACGACGAACGTGGACCACATGATTGATTTGCTTTTTTACGAGATCCAGATAAGTGAACGAGAGGCAGTGGCTTATTTTGATAGAACATTTAAGTCTTTTTAGATGCTTGAGATCCAAATAATCAGACAAGCAAAGGCAGTTAATGCTGTTAGATTGATCCAGCAAGATCAATCTAGCTCAGTCCAATGTGATTGTAATGTAGGCGAGAGTGGCTTCATCAGAATATGCGGTTGTGGATGTTAATAATAATACAGGCTTTTAGGATTGATTGACGGTTGAGGGATGCTGGGAAGCATTGGCCATTTATGCGGGCATTGAGAGCTCGAAGATGGAAATGATGAGATGATAGGCTGGTCAGGCTGGTTACTCTAAAAATCAAGAATATGATGAAACAGAAAATTAAGAGTTTATTAAATGTTTTGCACAATGAGGATGTTGGTTATTGCCAAATGTTTCATGACATGCTTTGTATTACAATTTGGTTCAATACATCGCAATATCATGACTACTGTACATCAATTCAGGCAATATTTTAAAACAGTTTCTCTCCCTCTCTCTTTAGACTGCACTTTTTATTCCTTTTTTGATATCACTTTATTTTGATGGTCCCTTTAATGCATTTTGTTGAATTTAAGTTAATTGCAGCTACATGCCAACTAATTCTCAATACACTCTCAGAAATAAAGGTACAGGAGCTGTTATTGGGCAGTACCTTTAAAAAAAAACTTCTTTGTACCCAGAGAGTCCACAGTGGTACCTCAAAGATGCATATTAGTGCCCAAATGTACCTAAAAAAGTAAATTTGAGGTACCATTATGGACTCTTCAGGTACAAATATGTGCCTTTTGAAAATGGTACTGCTCCAGTGACAGCTCTATTTCTAAATGTAAGTAGACTGTTGGGGTTAGGGTTAGTGTAAGTTGACATTTTGCAAAGTCACTTATAGTCAGTTAAATGTCTGTTGAAGCAGCAGTATCTACAGATATTTAGCAGACAGTCTACTAATACTCAAATGAGAAGTAATTGGCATAGTTGCAATGCTAACTTGCAAACTTTTCGTCAACAAAATGTGCAAAATTAAGTTTAACCCTTTTTTTTGTCTGCGTACTGGTAAAAAATGTTTACTGAGCACCAAATTCACATGACACAAGACTCGGGTAATAACTTTTCACTGTATTTATGTGTTTTTATGTTGACTATTTCATGCTGAGCTAAAGTAAGTGACTTTTGTGAAAATCCTGATATATTTAATCATATTGTAGCCAGCAAAATTGCCCAAATAGTCAATATCTGAGATTCGTAGGGTGTTTTCACACGTATAGATCAATTTTTCTTTTTTTTTTTTGTTCCGAATCCCTGTTTTAAACCCTTTTTCGGAACAAAACAATGAAACTACAGGTGTGAAAGCACCCTAAGAATCTTGAATGTTGATTATTTTGGCAATTTGGCTGGCTAAAATATGCTCATGGTAGTCACTTACTGTGCGCTCAGCATTGCCAAGCTATTGTTATATATGACGAAACAGCCTAGTCTTTTGTTTGCTCTGCTGCACTCTGAGTTGACCAATGATTTTAAAGTAGGCGGGGCTTACGGTTCACGTCAACCAGTGTTGCCAGACGCATGATAAGTATCATATTTGTACAATAATTTTGACCTCTGTACAATGTGCGATCAATAATAAAAAAAATCCTATAATGTACAATATTTTCAGAACTTTATGGCATTTAAAATGAATTTCATTGAAATCTTAGAGTTTCTATACTTATTGATCTAGCTGCATTTTTTTGTCTACTGTCTGGGAGGAGAATGTGGAGTTACACCCGTTTTCTATCTCAACTTACTTAACATTTTCTCAGCCAATGAACGTGGAGAATGGCAATCTTTTGCTAGTTAACGTTCCTGCCATGCGCAGCCGTGCTTAAGCCAGTCGTTTTCAGGTTGAGATTGATTGTTTAAGCAATAAAGTTTTAAAAAGTAGTGCTGAGAAGGAACGTGAGAAGGACAGGGGAGTTTGCCCTTGATGTTCTCATTTTTTCCCATTCAATTGTGTCAAGTGAATGTGTTTTTTTTTCCAAAGTTAAATAAAATAAAATCTCATAAAAAAAATAAATAAAAAAAAAGCCACGAAATTGGCTCATTACAAGTACTCTTAATGAGCTTGTGCACTCCTCAGAATTCTGGAGGGTGCACTGCTTTCAAGTCAACCCACCCCATTGTTGCAGTCAATGATGGCATCCAATTTGTACAACAAAATTAATCCTTTAACAATTGGTAACACAGCAGGACACTCGTAGGACTCGTAGGTGGAGTTTGAACCTTCTAAGGTACACCTAGTTTTTTTTTAAATTTGCAAGTTGTGTCAAAACGCTGTTTGTCTAGATCAATCTTGTTCCTGGAGATCTACCTTCCTGCAAATTTCAGTTGCTACCCATATCAAACACACCTGAACCAATTAATTAGGACCTGAACACCATATGATAATTACAGGCAGGTGTGTTTGACATGGGTTGCAACTGAAATCTGCAGGAAGGTTGATCTCCAGGAACAGGATTGAGCACCCCTGGTCTAGAAGATAGCTGTATACTCTCAGTTTGACTCGTGTACAATAATTTTCCTCCAAATACGATAATTTTGAGGTTCTGGTATGATACTTTGACATTTCCAATCTGGTAACACTGACGCAAACGTTAGTGTTTGAAGCACCAGTAGATGTTGAAAGAGAATCAGGTAAGATTTAAGAAGCTAAAGACTTAATATTTGATCGCTGTTTTACGATCAACGTTGTTAAAAGACATATAGTAATACTCAACTAATGCAAACCACTCGAGTTTCTTCCTTACTTTCGCCATTTTGAAATAATTAAGGCATTATTTGCGTAAAGCAGTTCCTACTTGAAAGTGACGAGACAAGAAAACCTGATTTATTTTCGACATATTGTGCTTACAAGTTAAAGTGAATTGGTGTATTCTTTTCATAAAAGGTTAGTTCCTTCTGTGTCTTTATATAAACAAATTGGTAACCATGGATAATGTTTGCAGCCATTTTCTGTTCTGAATGTAGTCCACTGATCTATTTACTGAAGATCAGTGAAGTAGTCACATATCATTCACAACAAACCCTTCGGCACCACCCACAATAATATTAATAATGAAATAATAATAATAATAATAATAATAATAATAATAACAATAACAGTAATAATGATGATAATAAAGTTGGAATACCACCAGTAATAGCTTTGTGTGATGTTAAGTAATTCTAAAAACGTATTAAAAATACTGACTTACAGTAGTAATGTTACAAAGTAAATATTCAGATTAAAATAAAACATTTAATACTGTTTTACACTGCACAATTGCTGTTGTGGTAGCAGAGACCCTGTAAATACAACACAAGCATATCGTATATCTCAAAAATATGCCACGCTATTTTGATTTTGCGTCATTAAATTATTGTGAAAAAAATACTAGCTTAAATAGATTTTTTTAGGGATAACCAGAATTACACATTTGAGGAATAACCAGACATGTTAAAACTCCCTGATTATTAAGTGTAAAAAGAGAGACAGGCACATGAAACATGACATATAAGCTCCAGACTGGCAATGATTAAAATTCTACAGAACCAAATGTTATGCCTTTTTAATTGTAGCTTAACATTGTTGACACAGCAAGCACAAAGAAGCAGCTGACCTGTCAAAGTGTCGAATACGTGTAGTAGGCCGGTTTGCAGAGGGGTTTTCTCTGAGACGGACTGAAAGTACGTAACACAGGGGTTTAAAGAGGGTGGATGTGAATATGACACACTCCTCATATCGGGGGTTGGGAGGTTGTTTGCTTCAGAAAAAGATCACGCCCATGTCCAGGCATAATAATATCAGGGATTTTTTTTCTCTCTCTCTCTTTTTTTAGGGTTGCTGGCACCAGGTTTGGATCTGTCTGTCAATTGTTACTTCATGATTGCTGTTGCTGCGTCTGAGAGGCTTCAGTGAGTCTCTACGCCAGTGTGGTGTTTGTATCTGCCCATGCGTCGCTATGTGTGTGAGTACACGCATGAGCATTTCTTGATTCTATTTTAGAAAGCCACCTGTTAATAACATTAAAAAGCATGGAGCAGAGCCCACTCGAGAGTTGAGGTTATGGGATACATGTGTGTGTGTGTGTGTGTGGGAGGTTGTGAGGGTAATTCTGGGAAAATGAGGCCTGGAATTCTAAAGCAGTTTCAGTGTCAGTGTATCAGGCATAGCAGTTTACTTTGTGTATTGCTTGCACAGCACAACGAATGAACGAATGAAAATGTTTTAATTATTTAGATTATTACAATGCCGAAATTTGGCTTTAAGAGTCTCTCACACAAAAACCATGCAAACCTACATAAACAAATCAGACCAACACATTTTTATTTTATTTTATTTTAATTTATTTTATTTTATAGCTTGTGCTTTTATAGCTTAATGAAGAATTATTTGTTTCATATGTAAATTCTATTTTATTGTACTTTATTTATTTATTTTTTTTTTTTCATTTTATTCTACTCCATTTGTTTTAAAGGGCACCTATGATGAATATCTACTTTTATAAGCTGTTTGGACCGGAATGTGTGTGTGTCCACTGTCAAATTGAAGGAAAGTCTTTTTTTTTATTTACTGACGTAAAATAGGATCCGAATCTCAGTGATTTTGAGGTGCAACATGACATAGGAGTTCGGTTTACTATGCCCACCGAATTAATTGAAAGGTGCCATGTCTCAATAATATGCATAAAGATGTCCACATAACATTTTTTGCAAATAAACTGGGATTAAAACATACAATACATAATACGTTACAACTCTCTGTGATCAGCTGCACCTTAATAATTAATTTTATAAGTTTAAAACGTTTTTAAAGCAGAGCATGTTTGTAATAAAGACAGTAAAATCGATATGTACAGTTCTTTAATTTTTAACTGCTGTAATCACCACAGTTGCATGGTGTCAGTAAACATTAATATGTGTGTGTGTGTGTGTGTGTGTGTGTGTGTGTGTGTGTGTGTGTGTGTTTGTGTTTGTGTTTGTGTTTGTGTGAGACTCATGATTTCAGAAAGGCTTGAATTAACTCCACCACAAATACATCAAATAAACTTACTTGGTATTTTGGACTAGTAACCTTATTTCAACTTCATCCGTATCTGTCTCTTTCACTGACTGCTGTTTATCTGAACTAACCATATACCTCCAGCTCTCCCTCGTGAAGCAAATACGGAAGTAACTGAAACTGCAAGCCATTGAAATTCTGCTAGGCCTGGCTCCATGATAGAGCAGATTTCTATTGACCCTACTGTTAAAATGGCCAACTTTACAGCAGAAAAAAAATGTTTACAGCCTAGTACAAAGAACGATTTTGGCCCATATAACCAGGACTTAATTTGTACCGGATCCGGCACCTCTGAAATCTGATCTGGCACTTCATTTTATCGATCTCCCTTCTCAACCACCCTTCTACCCCGTCCGCTGTTCACTTACACTTTCTTCCGCGACTCCCCAATCCTATTCACTTTTTTCCACAACAACCTCCCACTCTTTTTTCGCTGGTCGCCATCACTTCACCTCAGCTGATTCCAGCTGATTAGCTGCTGAGTTCAGAATATACATCAAATTTTTGTTTTGTTTTATGTGGCTTTACAGTCAGTTACTTTTTGTAATTATTTCTTACAATTATCAGATGATATGGCATGCTGTGTGCACTTAATTGTGCTCACAGTCTCACAAACCATTCACGTGACCTCTATATCCCAGGTGAGTGAAATTGTATACTTATACCATGTCTATAAATCTATTTGTTTTATTTAAGATCATTTATCATTTGTATTTTTCTTTAGACCTGTAATGCACTCCAGAATCTGAAAGATTGATTAGCTGTAGGCTACAGTCATCTGAAGCGTTGTCATACAGTGTTATGCCTGAATTTCATAAATAGCCTTGGATTTAATAACACAGACTATATTTTGATTGTTTATAAGTATTTTGTGTTTTCCTCCTGTAGGAAAACGTCATGAGAACAATGCTTAGTGGCTTACAGTATTACAACAGTGATTTTAAAAGGCGAAATACTTTATTGATATAATGTACAACCAAGCACATGTGGTCAAAACACAAACAAGTCTCAGATAATTAAGTATTAAGCATTTCTCCCAAAGAAAAGCCCTTCTAAGCAAAATGCTAGCAGGCATCAGTAGCTCCACTGACGATTGTTTGGTATCCTGCTGTGAGTCCAATGACGCACAAGCAAAATGGCGACGGTTGACCATGCCTACGAGTAGCTTCTCTTGCATTTTTCAAAAACCTATGGGTGACGCCACGGATACTACGTTCATATCTTTTACGATCTATGGACCTAATGCATGAGAAGCAGACACGCACGTCAGAGCTGTGGGCGGCGAGAAGCAGCTCATTTGGATTTAAAGCCCCAACAGCTAAAATGTATTCAGACACCAAAGTGGGCAGATTCTACATTATATAATAAATAATCTGATGGGTATGTTGAGCTGAAACTTTACAAACACATTCTAGAGACACCAAAGGCTTATCTTACATCTTTTTCGAAGAGGTAAAATAGGTAATCTTTAATTGTACTTTGCTCAGACATCAGTTTTATTTTATTTTATAGCATTAATGATTGATTATTTGTTTAATTTAAATCAGGTTTAAGAATTTGTATGCAAAGGTCAAATTTATTTTACTGTACACAAAAATGTATTTTGTTTCTTTTTTTATTTTACTCCACTTTATTTTATTGCATTTTTTAATTTTAAGTTTTTATTTTACAGCATTAATTAGTAATAATTTGTTTAATGTAAATCCGGTTTAAAAAAATTACATTTACATGTGAATTACTTGTTTACTTTATCATTTAAATGTTTTTATTTGTAATTTGTTTTATTGCATTTGAATTATTAGGACGATTAAAGTGCATTAAACTGGTTTTAAGAAATTCTTTATTAATGCATATGTTATATTTTCTGTTCTTTTAATGCATTTAATTTCACTGTGTTTTATGGCATTGCATTTTATTTAATTATATTTTTTTGCATTTGATTTAACAAAGTTGCTGAAACAAAGCAAAGATCAAGCTATTTTTTTTTCATTTTATTTTATTTATCTGGAGATTTCATTGAAGCAATCTCCATTTTTATAAGATTTAGACTTTGTTTTACCTGTTGAGGAATTATTCAATTATCTTAAGATATTTAATTATCTTAATAAGTGTCATCATTTATAAAACTGAAGTTTGCAAATTTACTAACAATGACTTCATAGCTAGCTAATAGTTTGCTTTGCGCAATTGAACAGCTGGGGCTTCAAAATGAGTAATTCAATTTAAGATAGCGAAGACAAAATTCCTTTGGAATAACAAACGCTAATAAACAATTCACAATAAGACCAACAGCACATTATAAAAAGTAAATAGAGTCACTTTAACCAAATGGAAATGGAGAATAGGGCAATAGTTACCAAGAACGCAAACAGAAACGTCCTTGATGCAAGATTTCACTGACAGCTAGTTAAGTAGGGTAGTTAAGTAGCTATTTACAGACACTATGCAAAAGTGAGTTATGTGTATTAGCCAAGTTTGAAGTCCTCTTTTGATGTCATGGGTGGCTTGTCGAATGAATGATGACCATGGACATACATGAGGGGCGCCTCCAGTATAGGGTCCCTTAAAAACAAATACATTTGCATTCGTATTTATTCATGAACTTTTTACACTGCAAAAAAAATGATTTTCTTAATTAGATTTTTTGTCTTGTTTCTAGTCCAAATATCAAAAAATTCTTAAATCAATAAGAATTTTCCAGACAAGCTTGTTTTTAGAAATAATATGCCAATATTAAGTGAGTTTAACAATCTGCCAATGGGGTAAGAAAAATAATCTTATGTCAAAGTGAAAAACAAGATTATTTTGCTTGCCCCATTGGGAGATTATTTTGCCTGTTTTTAAAGAAAAAACTATATTTAATATTGGCATATTATTTTTTGAAAACAAGACATTATGTTTAGCTTGCCTAGAAATTGCTTCTTGATATAAAAATTTGTAGATATTTGAACTAGAAAGAAGACAAAAAAATCTTAGTAAGAAAAGCATTTTTTGCAGTGCATCAAGTTTGTAAGTTGCCAGACCTTTTTATTAGTGTTTTTCAATGTCTCTGATGGCACTCGTTTATTAATTTGACATCCGTGAATTAATTTCATGCACTTTGGCGACTGTAAAATGATGGTGGTGTGAAGCCGTGACCTTCATTCGTCACGCTTGCATCCATTCCTGTTATGTACACAACAAGAGTTCAGCTATATACTTTAAAAAGGAACGTTTTACACACACACACACACACACACACACACACACACACACACACACACACACACACACACACACACACACACACACACACACACACACACACACACAGGCTTGAAATTTGCTGACATCAAACTGATAACAGAGACTACTTAGGTCTACTTAATTTATATGTATAAATACAAATATATATGAATACACAAAGATACACATTCTATTATGGAATCGCATTATAATCAAATTATATAAATAAAATTGAACTTGACATATGTCAGTTCACAAAGCTCTAATTGGCTAATGAGATTTTGATTGACAGCTCTCAGTCCTGATTTGTTTAGATGAACACTTTTTTGTTTGCATATTATTGATGAAATAAAACGTTTTGGGGTAATATTTGACATTTATTAGGACATCAACAGGCACAATAACCAGTAAAAAGGCTTTATCTAAGTTGGGGCTTTATCTAAGTTAAAATATATTATTATAAATATACATACATACATACATACATACATACATACATACATACATACATACATACATACATGAATGCACACATACATACATACATACATACATACATACATATTTCTTTCTTTTTTAAATATTTCCTCGATGTTTAACAGAGCAACAAAATTTTCACAGTATGTCTGATATATTTTTTCTTCTGTCTTTATTTGTTTTATTTTGGCTAATAACCATTTTAAGGTCAAAATTATTGGCCCCTTTAAGCTACTTTTTATTTATGTTTTTTTTTTGATAGTCTACAAAAAAAACTATCATTACACAATAACTTGCCTAATTACCCTAACCTGCCAAGTTAACCTACCTAGTTACGCCTTTAAAGGTCACTTTAGGCTGTATGGAAGTGTCTTGAAAAATAGCTAGTAAAATATTATTTACTGTCATCATGGCAAAGATAAAATAAATCAGTTATTAGAAATGA